AAATGAGGACCCAGACTGTGGGGGTGATATGCTGACTCTGCAAACTGCTTAGAGCGGGCTGAAAGCCCTATGAAGCGGTATATAAGTCTAACTGCTATTGCTATTGCTATTCCAAGTGTGGCCTTACCAAGGCATTATAAAGTGGTTTTAACACATCACATGATCTTGATTCTATCCCTCTGTTGATGCAGCCTAGAACTGGGTTGCCTTTTTTGGCAGCTGCTGCACACTGCTGGCTCATACTTAACCCCACTCCAGGGGAAGGAAATTGCAAAATCTCCATTCCCACCCCATTCTTTGGCCAACCAGAGATGGTATTTGCTGGTTCTCCGAACTACTCAAAATTTCCGCTACCGGTTCTTCAGAACGTGTCAGAACTTGCTTCATCCCTGGTGATACCTTGTTAACTAGATATTTTAGAGCTTAATAACTTTAAAGTTTTTTTAATCTAAAAAGTAAGTCAATGCATTACACAACTTGAGAAGCAACTGATGATATATTGAAAAGTGTAACCTCCATGACGCTCCCATCTCCATGCTTTCCTTACTTGCATTTTACATTGCAGGTTAATGAACATTAATTGCATCTTACTGTTTTATTCTTTTCTACATGCCTTTTATTTACCTTGCTTTATGAACTTTTTAAAAATGTGTCATAAAAAAAGGGAAACATATAAAAGATAAATGAGCAGCTAGACATCTTCATTTCTCCTTTTCGCTATACTAACTCCGATCATAGTGTGGACACCCTACTTTGTTCAGGGATCTAAATTAAAATTTTAAAGAGGATTGTCCCTCCTCTCACTGAGGACAACGAAGCAGAGATATCCCACTTCTCTGGGCCATTGCTTTCATTGTCAAAATCTACTTTCTAAATAGCTAAAATTCAGGGGCAGACCCTGAAAAGCAGAATAGGACTTGAGGGGTCATTGATGCCCTCAGAGCTTATAGCAATAGCAATAGCAATAGCAGTTAGACTTATATACCGCTTCTTAGGGCTTTCAGCCCTCTCTAAGCGGTTTACAGAGTCAGCATATGGCCCCCAACAACAATCCGGGTCCTCATTTTACCCACCTCGGAAGGATGGA